GGGGGGGGCGGGGGAAGCAGGCTCCCTGCTGAGCAGAGAGCCCGATGCAGGGCTCGATCCCAGGACCCTGGGATCATGACCCGAGCTGAAGGCAGAGGCTTTAGCCCACTGAGCCACCCAGGCGCCTCAGGCCACATATTTTGAATAGCAATAAAAGCCAGCAAGGCTTAGGAAAAGAAAATACTCAATGAGCTGGCAGAAGAGCCAGGAGGACACAGTGTAATCAAAGCTAAGGGAGGGGCTTCTGGGTGACTCAGCCATCTGACTCTTGATTTCAGCTCAGGTCATGATCTCAGGGTCATGAGTTCTAGCCCCACATCAGGCTCCCTGCTAGGTACAGAGTCCACTTGGGTTTCTCTTTCCCTCTGCCTCTCCTCCCACTGCCATATGTTCTCTCTCTCAAGTAAATAAATCAATCTTTAAAAAAAACCCAAAAAACCAAACCCACCTTGAGCCTGCATGCGTGTTCTCACCAAAGCCAAGGGGTAGCTGGCCAGCTGGCCACAGGTGCTGGATAAGGCACCACACCCCAGCAGCACTACAACTCCGGGGTTTACAGAGTCTTTGGCATAATTATCCAGCCAATGGGACTTCAAGAGCTGCCAGAGAAATACGAAGGAAGAAAAACAGTGAACAACCAACTCGACAACAGCTCTCACTCAGCATGAACACTTTCTTAGCCACTCTTGTCCTTAGGAGAGACAGGCCACATTTCTGCAAGATCAAGGGGTACACTCCCAGGAGCAGCAGTCCCTGGAGGAGGCAGCAGTTCTGCAGGAAGCGGAGAGGTGAGGGCGGAGCCAGTGGTGATCCAGAACACCTGAGATTTGCACTGGTTGCTCCTTTTCTTCCAAACTAATGTTAAGATCAACAGCATTCCAAACACAGTATCTCAAGAACATTTCTTACAGTATTAATAAAAACAATATAATTTTATTAATTGCATCAATTTTATACTTTACACATATATTTCATTTTGTTGTTTCCCTGAGGTAGAACTATTCTTCCAATTTTAGAAACAAGGGAAAGGAGTCTCAGTGGCTTTTTTTTTTTTTTTAGATTTTACTTATTTATTTGACAGAGAGAAACAGTGAGAGAGGGAACACAACAAGCAGGGGGAGTGGGAGAGGGAGAAGCAGGCCTCCCGCTGAGCAGGGAGCCCAATGCAGGGCTTGAGCCCAGGACCCTGGGACCATGACCTGAACCGAAGGCAGATGCTTAACCGACTGAGCCACCCAGGCACCCCTCAGTGGAATTTTTTTTAACAAGGGTGCAGAATCAAGGGTATTGATCTCCAGGCTGTGCCTTTGCCCCAATTAGCCTACATCCTTGTATTTCCATCAGAAGGCGATGACTGAAAGTAACTGTATAAAATATGCTAATCCACTTTTTAAATATATGATATTTTAAGTATAAGAATCTATGCTAACATGCGGGGGAAATTATTGTTATGCTAGTGCAAGCAAAGTAATATACTACCTAAAGCAATCTACAGATTCAATGTAATCTCTACTCAAATCCTCATGGCAATTTTGTTTTTAAAGATTTTATTTATTTGCTTGACAGAGAGAGGGAACACAAGCAGGGGGTTGTGGGAGAGGAAGAAGTAGGCCTGCCCCTGAGCAGGGACCCCTTTGTGGGACTCAATCCCAGGACTCTGGGATCATGACCTGAGCCCAAGGCAGATGCTTCACTGACTGAGCCACCCAGGCACCACAAGCCCATGACAATTTTTGAAGAAAAAGAGAAAACCACCCTAAAACTCATATGGAATCTCAAGGGACCCCACTGAGCCAAAATAATCTCAGAAAAAAAGAATAAACTAGGAGGCCTCATACTCCCTGATTTCAATAGATACTACAAAGCGGGGTGCCTGGGCGGCTCAGCCAAAAGCCTCTGCCCTAGGCTCAGGTCATGATCTCAGGGTCCTGGGATCGAGCCCCTCATTGGGCTCTCTGCTCAGCAGGGAGCCTGCTTCTCTGGTCTATGTGTCTGTTTTTATGCCAGTACCATGCTGTCTTGGTGATCACAGCTTTGTAGTAAAGCTTGAAATCAGGTAACACTTTTCCCTCTCCTTCTGCCTGCTGCTCTGCCTACTTGTGCTCTCTCTGTCAAATAAATAAATAAAATCTTTAAAAAAAAATAGATACCACAAAGCAACAGTAATCAGACAATGTAGTATTGCCATAAAGACAGATACACAGATCGATGGAACAAAACAGAGTCCATAAATAAAGTCTTAAATATATGGCTAAATGATCAACGAGACTACGCACTGGAAAAAGAAGCCTCTGCAGCAAATGTTGTGGGGAAAATTGAATATCTACATGCAAAAGGATAAAGTTGGGCCTTTACCTTACACCATGTACAAAACTTAACTCAAAATGGATTAAAGACCTAAACAGAAGACCTAATACTTTAAAACTCCTAGGAGAAAACATATGATAAAAGCTTCCAGGCAATGAATTAGGCAATGATTTCTTGCACATCAAAAGCATGGACAATAAAATAAAAAACAGATAAAAGAACTTCACCAACTTAAAAACTTCTGTGCAGCAAAGGAAACAATCAGCAGGGTGAAAAGGCAGTCTATGGAATGGGAGAATGTATTTGTAAACCACATATCTGATAAGGGGTTAATACCCAAAATATATAAAGAACTCCAATAACAACAATTTAAAAAATTAAAAATGGGCAAAGGCAACAGATATATGAAAAGAGACTCAACATCACTAATCATCAGGGAAATGCAAATCAAAACTATAACGAAGTATCACCTTACACCTGTTAAAATGACTAGAATAAAAAAGACAAGAAATAGGGGCTCGTGGGTGGCTCAATCAGGTAAGCATCTGACTCTTGATTTGGCTCAGGTCATGATCTCAGGGTTATGAGATTGAGTCCTGCATCGGGCTCCATGCTTGATGTGGAACCTGCTTAAGATTCTCTTCCTTTTCCTCTGCCCCTCTGCCTACCCCGACAGCTCATACATGAAGAGAAGAGAAAAGAAGAGAAGAGAAGAGAAGAGAAGAGAAGAGAAGAGAAGAGAAGAGAAGAGAAGAGAAGAGAA